TTGAACCCAAGCTCTGTGGTTCCGCCGCAGTGGACCTGACGGCTAAGACCGCTGCTCAGGGGGCGGCAGGCAGGGAGCACCTACAGACGCAGACGCTGGACAGGGCGTGATTCACGACCGGAGGCGGGATGTGTGGCAGGACAGCAGGAGGTTCCATCATGCTGCTCAAAGTGGTGCCCAGTTTAAAACTTACGAATTCTTTACTTCAGGAACTTTCCATTTAGTATTTTCTGGCCACAGTTGACGGGGCCAGAAATTCAGTGAACTGAAACCGTGGGTAAGGGGGAGTGCTGTGTACCCTCTCCCCACAAAGGGAGGACTGACCAAGGGTGGGGCTGAATTCATGGAAGGCAGGGCAGCATCCACACCAGGGGCCTCCCAACAAATTTAAATACAATGGGGGTATATCACCAAGGCCGATAAAAGCAGGGCACCTACCAATACCCAGGTTGTAAAAATGTGGATATACTTCTCCAAATCCCAGCATTCCAGGTATCTCCCCCAGCTCTGGCCCATCGTCTAGGATCAAACCTGCAACCTGGGCCTATCCGATGACACTCTAACCAACGGAACTACCCAGGCAGGGCCCCATGTCCCTTCCGACGGATGCTTGTGCTGGGTTTGCCATTAAATATTTAGAGTATCCCCAAGGCTTTTCCTAATCCTATTTTACCATGAGGAAATTAAGGCTTAGGCAGGGTAAGTAACTTGTCCGAGATCATAGAGCTAGTGAAATTGAAACTACAATTCAAAACTGGCCTGCGTGACTATAATACCTGCAGTGTGTTCAGGGCAGCCTCATCCTGTATTGTCCAAACTGAAACACTTCGGAGAGCAAACAGGGAACACCCCAAAAGCGATGCCAGGGTAATGAACATAAACAGGACTCTGCTGGACTAATGGGGGTGTGGGGTCACTGGCACATGGGATGGGCCGGGAGAAGGTTCAATCCAGCCCATGTGCATTTTACTGAAGACCAGGGCGAGCCCTCTCAGGACTTCCTGCAATTACTTAAGACGGCTGCTTTCCCCATTGCTGGCTAGGTTTGTTAACCTGGGTAGTAATCCTGTAGTTACTAACTCTAAAGTCTGTCTTTTAAAACTTAAAAAAAAAAAATGTTTATTTTAGAGAGAAAAGGACAGAAGGGAAGGTGGGGAACCTGCAGAGCGCTGCATCCGGGGAAGCAGGCGGTGGCGAGGCGAGAACTTCGGTCAGGAGGGGAGACCAGCTGCACCCGCCGCTCAGGAGGGGAAGGGAAGAGGAGCTGCTATTGTCTACACACGGCTGCTCACCACATAGGAAGCTAAGCCCAGTTAAACTGTCAAACTCAGAGTTAGGGGAACAGACTAAGGCAGGAGACGGAGCCCGAACCAGCGCTTCAGACTCGGAGTGAGGCGTCCCCTGGGGAACACGGATACTCAGGGGTCAGGCAGAGGCAGAAGAGAAACGGTCCTGGAGAGGGCCGGAGACCTATGACACCGAGAGAGAGAGATGCAGCAGCACCTCGACAGAGTCAGACGTGGCTGAAGAATCGATTGAGAAAAGAACTGAATCCAGTGGTGGAGGACACCACAGTGGGGTTAAGAGCGAAGGGACAGAAAGAAACAGACAGACTCTGCAGGTGGCACAAACCAAGGGCTTGATCATTGTTTCATGAAAAAAGGAAAGCTTTGCATAAAAGAACTTGCCCATTCGGTAGCAATGAGAATCCAGCAGGTGAACTTCCAGGACGCCGAGTCCATTTCAAGGGCACACACACAGTGACCAGAACCCAGCCAACTGCAGTAGGTTTTTATCAGCTTCAGAGAGACCCAATGAACAAGTGCTGGGCAGCCCTCTGCTAAGCGAAGGCCTCCTCTGCTTGTGCTACCAGAAAAAAACATGCAGAATAAAGGCTCCATGGCAACGCCCTGATGCAGGCTATGTTATTAAAGCTCCAGGTAAGCTCGACTTGTACCATGTGCACTCATAGCACCAGCTTTAGGAGAGCAAGACTCAAGGTCCACTTCAGCTCTATGACTTACTTCCTAGTTGTTGTCCTGGGCAAGTTAGTTAATGTCTCTCAATCTCAGAAGTGTGAACATTAATTGAGCCTCAGGCTTGGCTGTGATTATTCCATGATAATATATTTAAGCACTGAGTTCAGGGCCTGATCCACTGTCAGCTCAATAAACACTGGCAATAAACTTCTTTTATAGACTAGAGCTGCACTGTCCAAATGTGAGCTACATCTGTAATTACATATTCTCGAGTAGCTCCATTATAAATCAAACAACAGGTGAATTAATTTTATTATGTTTTATTTTACCCAAACATATCCAAAATCCTATGTCAATATAGAATGAGTATAAAATTATTAATGTGGCACTTTACATTATCTTCTTCTTGCCAAGTCTTTGAAATCGGTGATTTATACTCCGAGCGCGCCCCCACGCCGACAAGCCTCATTTCGGGGGCCCCACTGCCACGTGTGCCTCATGGCTGCCACCCTGGGCCCCGGCAGGCAGAGGAGGTGCACCATGCCCTCCCTCCCTAGGAATCACATTTCACACCACATTTTGAAATGACTTTCTGATCTACTACTGAATTAAAGCCGTATTTCCGGTTGTTTTTCAGCCCCTCCTACCTTAGCCTTAAGATGACTAAGCGGTAGACAGGTACCTGGGATGCACGGGGCCCAACATTTTAGCGATGCTCTGGGAAGCCTCACCACCGTGGGCGTGGGCGGTGCAGAGATAACAATGCCCAGGTGACAATGAAAGCACAGCCAGGAGTCAGGCTGCAATGGTGTCAAGGAGTGGGGGGTGGCATAAGATGCAGTTATTTACATTTTTAAAGTTGACTTTTTCGGGGTAACAAATGAACTCACAAAACAAATCAAACAAACTCAGTGATGTATTTAAAAAGCCAAGAAAAGGCCAATCTCCAAAGCCGCAGCCTGGCTAAGAACTGCTAAGAAAAAGCAGTACTCAAATCGGGCGGGTCCAGGCGGGGTGGGCGGGGAGGGGGTGGCGGTGGGGGAGGCAGGGAAGGCGGGGAGCTTAGGTCCGAAAGGGGCAGAGCCCACAGTGGGGCCTCCCAACACACACTGGCCAGGGACTAGAAGGTCTGCAGCACAAACACGCCTCTGGGAACCACCTGCCATGACAATACCGCCTTTATCCATGGCTTCGGCTTCAGCTCCAGAGGCAGAACAATACAAAAGATAGAGAAGTGCTGTCTTTTCAAGGGGAAGTGGGAAAAGAATCTCAAAAACTTGCCTTTTCTGCAATCAGAAGAGGAACTAGCTTAATGCAAAATATATTTTTTCCAAGTGTTCAATTTAAGGGAGTAATACTCTTCTCAAATGAAATACTGATAGAACTTTCACTGTGTGTATTAATATATATATTTTGTCATGGTCATTTAACTTATACAGCCATACAGGTGAGAGGTAGAATCAAAACTCTGCAAAGGAAGAGTTTCAGCAAAGAAACTGAAATTGTTTCTTAAGTCGCCAGAGGGAAACCAATTCAGCAAACATAAGAAGCCCAAAGTCTGTCAAAAAGTCCGGCATTGATTCTAGGGACCGGACCCTGTCCGCTCGCACTAGTCCCCAGAGTCACCCACCACATCAGTATGTTATGTCCACAGTGAACACGGTGCCCAAAGAGGCCCGGGTATATCTGATCAGCTCTGATAAAGGACTTAAGGAGAGGCAGAAACCAGTTCAGAAAGGTCAAAGGATGATGCTTCAGTTTGGACAGGTTAGTTGCTGAAGGAAAAATTCTCTTTTGGAGAGTGGAGAGCACTGTGACGTCCAGCAGAACTGGGCACCTACTGGAGGTGTGACCTTGCATATGTTCCTTCTCCGGGCCTAGTTTCTCAATTTGTAAAATAGGAAAAGTGATGCAGAAGTTTTGTGAAGGTGAGATGTCATATGTGTAAATGTGCTTTGCATAGTGTCTGACGAAACAGGTATTTAACAAAGAGCTGCCATTGATAATAACAATAGTAATATAAATGAGATGCTCGTTTATTTCTATATCATTATAAAGGCTTAATTGGAAAAAGTTTTTAATAAAATGCAGAATAAGGCAAAGGTCACTACACTGACTTCCTTTTTAAGTCTGCACATAGCAGTATTCAAGTAAGATTCATTTTCTCAATCTTTGAAACCACGAACGGTTATATCAAATTTTATTTTCCCTAGCTTAACAAAAAGCAAGGAGAAATTGGTCTCGGATGCCTGTGTAAGTGACCTTGAAAACTGTGTGTTTTTTAAAACAACTTAGTTATTCATCCATAACAAAATTTGGCGGGGTGGGGGCGGGTAAGGGCGCTGGCTTGGCGGGTGGTGAGCGTGTGCTTCGCTGTGACCGTGTGTGTATATACTTTAAGTCTTGACGCACAAAGAATCCCTCCCCCACGGTTTCAAAAGGCCCTCTCAAGTGACCAAGGAATTCCTTGGCCCAGGAAGAAATGCATCTGAAAAGTTAACTCTCACTAAAAAAAATTGTAATACTAAAAAGTATTATGACTTTTTTTCCTGATTGCAGTATTTGTATTTTAAGAAGGAGTTTCCTTTAAAATGATAACTCCTAAGAAAAATCTTACAGTCTAAAAAATGCAAACACAATTGCTGTAAAGATGCTGATACAAGGACTTTGTATGCACGTAAGTAGATCACCAGGCCTCTGTGACAACAAGGGGGATAGAAACCTTCCTTAATGCCCCTCACATCACACTCACAAGTGACTTTTTACTTCAGCTCAAGGTCAGTCTGGTTTCAAGCAAGCAATCTGCTTACACAACTCCAGGGTAATTGCTGTGTGTGTGTATGTGCTCCTGAGTGTAGACTTCAAGTTGATGAATGGCCCTATTAGAATCTCAGTAACATTGAGGGTCCATCTACTAAACTGCAACTCGCACCTGGCTTGCTTCTGACTAGCGTGAAATGTTAAAACAAGCCGGGAGCCATTCTCCTAACACCTTCACAGAAGAGACATAGCTAAGTTTACCTTTCTTTGGTCTGGATTTCACTGGCAAGGACTCCTTTTTTTCCATTGCTGCTTCTCTTTCTTTCCATCGGCGGATCTGTTCCTCCCTCATCTTGAAGAACAGGATCTGTTTCTGTTCTTCGCTGAGCTCTGCCAGCAGATCAGGATCTATGTACATCTCCGACAGTATCTGTTTCAGCATCTTTGCAGGGCTGGAGTCTTTTACACCTGTGGCAGAAGTTCTTGAAAATGGCTTCCAGGTGTGCCTCCACCTGGGCTAGCACTTGGGAGGACCTTCCCAGAAACGCACAGCAATCCCGAATGACTGGGATAATAATTCAGCAAACTGGCTCTCAGTTCCTAGCACCGAATGTCCTGCCCAAAATGCCGTTCATGAACCTGCAAGGAGCGACAGCCAAAAGGCAGGCAGTGTTACAATGTGTAGATGCCAGGCAAGGACAGGCTTATGAATAAAGCTTGGCGGAAATACAGTATTGTTTTTCATTTACGAGGAAAAGAAAAAAAGCTGAGGCACGCTTTGTTGAGTTTGTGTAACCTCTACCCGTAATTTCCAAAGATACTTTATCAAGAAGAGCAAAGCAAACCCTAACTTTTTTACAGGTCAATCTCAGGGAAACAAAAAAAATTAACAGAGGCCTGGCCTTGTTCCAACCAAGCAAACACATTATTACCTCAGAGCCTAACAAACCAATTGTATGGCCTAGAAAAGAATTAAAGAAAAAAAAAAAAAAGGAGGAAATTAAAGGCTCTTTCCAAACAACTTATTAAAAAAAAAAAAATACTGTTTTTGAGGCTTCACAGAATTACCTCCCTCAAACCAAACCAAAACAGAACCATGCTCAAGGAAGGAAAAAGAATAAAAATTAGACCACAATGTTATTTTCCCATTAAAAGTAGCACATAAATATACATATGCTCTCTCATCTTCACAGAAGGACAGCACAATTTCAGATAACCTACTAGAACCATGAAAACAGTGCAAGTGCAGGAGAGAACCTTTACATACATTCTGGAAGGTCACCAGGTTTTAGGTGTACCTCCTCCAGGTAACCTAATTTAATAAAATCTAAATTTACAGATCAGATAAATTGGGGGAACGGAGAGGTGCCTAGGTTCATTACAAAGGATGCTTGCTTTAAAAAATAGTTTAGGAGAGGTTCCTTTAAAAAGACTGAAAGTCAGCGACTGGAGGCATGGAAGGGGCCCGCAGACGGGCATTCGCCGGAATGTCAGGGAGTCTCCGCTTCGATTTCTGCTGAGGTGTGGCATGGCCTACTATACTCACGAGTGGTCTCGCAGGAAGAGGCTCTGCTGGAAGGGGGCTGATAACTCCACTGATGTTTCATTCTACTTCACACATTCTGTTTGGTTGAATATTTTAAAAAGCACTGGCTGGTGTGGCTCAGTAGACTGAGTGCCGGCCTATGAACCTAAAGGTCACTGGTTCAATTCGCAGTCAGGGCACATGCCTGGGTTGTGGGCCAGGTTTCCAGTTGAGGGTGTGAGAGAGGCAGCCAATCGATTTATTTCTCGCACATCGATGTTTCTCTCCCTCTCTTCCTCCCTCCCTCCCCCGCCTTTTAAGAATAAATAAATAAAATTAAAAAAATAAAAATTTTAAAAAAGTTAAGCAAATCTTCATACTTTTATAATAAGAAGGAAATTATGTATACACTTCCATTCTGGAAAAACAAGACATTCACTTGTTTCAATATGATTGGATCACCAAAATTCTAAGAAACTGATTAATAATTTGGCGCTTACAATGCCTTAATAATCTCACCATGTAGGCATGGACTCTCAAATGTCATTTCTCTAAACTAAGTTCAAACCCTCTTAGACTTCACACTAGTCACTGAGCCTCCTAGTTCCTTTCCCGGTTGTCATCCACACCACCAGATTGTGATGCCTCCCTGCCCCTTGGGAGTGTCCCTGAGCTTCCTCTCTTCCTCTTCTTCCTTGCAAACTGTTTCTCCATCTGCACCAGTCTTTTGAGACACAGCATGCAAACCCAAAGTGGTTTGCATAACATAGCACATAGATTCGCTAACTATTCATTGTGTAGCAGGCTATGACTATTTTTGCTAACTGCATACTATAATCTATCTTCTGCAGCATTCAACTACCAGAACTCAAATGGAACACAATATTAAGAAAAAATTAAAATAGAATTAAAAGCAGTGTCTGACTACAGTTCAGCCAAGCCTGCCTATCCCAGGCTCTACCTTTGTGTTTTGCTTTCAGCTGACCCTCAAAGGCTGGCAACAGCCACAAAATTGATGCCCTGTGATATTTCCTTGACTTGGGGGTTCTAACAGCATCCCGAGGGCCAGCGATCACTAAATTCACCCTTATGGAGAGGCTTCCAGAGGCCCGCCTCTCGTCTGCAGGAACTGGAGGAAGAACTCAGTTCCTCCACACACCGGGCCTCCACTGCTCTGAGGCGAATGGTAAGAAATCGAAGTGGATGACTCCTTAACCTTCCTGGGAGAATGTCCTTCTGTGGGCGCCTTCTATGCCTCCAATCGCTGACTTTCACAGAAATAAAACATGGTAGAAAATGAGGAGCCCAGCGAAGCCTGAGGCTGCCGCTGGTTCCCCACTTTGAATGGGGTGATTCCCGGCAACAGTGGCATCGTGGGTAGAGCCTCAAAGCTACACCCCTGAAAGGTCCAAATTCACATCCCGCCCCGCACGCCGAGTACTCCTGGCAATAAGAGCTCCCACTCGCTGTGCCAGCCACGGCCTTCAGCACTCTCCATGTATTAACTCCTTTGGTCTTCACAGCGGCCCTCAGCGCTCAGCCTCACGCGTGCCCTGTGTCTCAGACGGAGAAGGTGGGAGGTGGTGGAGCTGGGGCAGCCTGGCTCTAAGTCAGCTTGCCCGGACTCCACCAGCACAGGGGAGTTTCTCTCTAAGCCCAGAATCAGAACATCATCGGGATGTGATAACACATGTAACATTTCTGAATGAAGACCAGCAAATTCTTGCAGACTCAGAAACGCTGAACTGAAGGTGTGTGACACAGAGTGGCTCCTGGGCAGAAGCCTCACCCTGGTCATTGCAGACAAGCTCAGAGGAGGCCGGGTATTGAAAAGGACCCCCCTCCGAAGGACAGCAAGGAACTGACAGTCATGCTGGCTCACTTGTGGGTGTTGTTTGCTCACGTTTCCTCCTCCATTTCCCCTCTCACACAACCGCAAATGGTACCGAGTTCCACAGCAGCTCTGATGAGATGCTGAAGCTTGTCCACAGTTTTAACCTTTTGTTTTGCCTTTTGGAACAAACATGGATTTTTAGCATTAAAGTTAACTAGTAAACCTTGAAGGAAAGACATTGGCTTCCCTGTGTACTCAGAGGATACGTGGGGACTCAACTGACAATCGTCCTGTGGTCCGGCTGCTAAATAACACGCATGCTGTTCGAAGGCTGTTGATTCCTACTGCTGTGAATGAGCTCTTTCCTCCCCTATGCTGCCGGATGGAAAAGTCACACCCAGCACAGGGTGCTCAGAGGACAACCAGCGAAGGGCCCCAGCCTGGACTCCCCCCTCTGCCTCCCATGAGCTGTGGGGCTTTGGGCTGTGGCTTCACGTCAGGACTCAGTGTCCACACCTGTGAAATGAAGGCCTGCACTGTGAATTCTTAGAGAACTATGCCAGATAATCCATGTGAAGTTACAGAGCCGACTGGAGTCAACCAGGGTAGAGGAAACAGAAATGAGGAAATAAACTCAACAGGGTTTTTCCCACTTTCACTGTCTGACAGGACAATCATTGTGATACTGAATCAAACTCGGACAACTTCCCCAAACATTTGAGTGCAGCAAACTTCCATTTATTCAAATCCAATAAAAAGGAAAAGCTCAGCTAACTCAGTTTTCTTCTTCTACAACACTTTTCTTCAAAGACAGTAATGACAAGCCACAAGCTCACATCTGCTATTTATTCCAAAAATAAATTCCTCAGAGGTCACAGGATCAGTTGTTTTCCAGGATACCCACAGATCTGGCCTGACTCTCGCACCTTCCACAGCCCTGTTCTACCAGACAGAAATTTAACGACTTTGAGACAACACAAAAGCAAAAGCAAGCAAGCGAACAAACAAAAAACAGCCTGCGATACAGCATAAATCATAACATAATACAGACAGTAAAATTTTACTGTTAGGAATACAGTTTGAATTTTAATTATTTTAAAAGAGCCAGGTTTGTTTTCAGATTTGCAGCTACGTTATTCAACTGTACCTTATTAATCTAACTGTAAAGGGGCCATTTTGAGGATAAAATAAATGACCAGAGCGGACAGCAATTTGGGAAGTTTTGTAAATATATACCATTCTTTAGAAATTTCAAATTACTGTACACACAAACTTCTCTAGGAAATTCCACTCACATGCCAAATCTATGGCCACATATGTTTTCCACTTATTCACTTAAAAAATATTGTATCTAAGTCGTTTCCATTAAACAGGCAATCCAATAAAAGCCTTTTAAGAGAGGAGACTAAGTTTCAAGAGATCTATCACGCTTGCTTCTTCCCTGTGACCCTGGGGAGGGGGAGACAAGTTGCGACTTGTCTGGCATCTCCGCGCCCACCCACCTCGGGCGCCCGCAGGACCCGCACGGGTGCCCACTTGGTGGAGGAAGGCCATCGCCATCGAACTAACTGGGGGCCGTGTCTGAGCGTGAAGCAGGCCCCGGGCCTCCACGCTCCGAGCCCACAAGACACGCCGAGCGGTGGCGCGCTGAAACCGCTGCCCCGACTCCCCTGGAAGGTGTGCGGTGAAGGGGTCCCCACGGCTCTACCCACGTATGTGCGTGCGCTCGTCCGCGGCTGCGGCCGCACCGGCGTGGGGCGCCCGTCGGGGGCCGCGGGAGACAGGAGCAGCGCGGGGCGTGGGCAGGACGCCGGAGCTGTTCGGCTGGAGTCCAGGAGGCTTAGAGCAGCCAGACCCAGCCCTGCGGCCACCACCCCACTGCCCCAGCGCCTTCCCGGCGGAAACCCGCCTGCCTTGTGTGCACACGCCCCTCAGGGACACGGAGCCCCGCCCGCAGCCCCAGGGCTGCCCGAGGCTCTCCCACGTGCCTTGCGCACGGCCCCTCCAGGGCCCCCTTAGCGCGACAGTGAGTCCCGGTCCCCGGCTCACCCGCCGGCGCTCGAGACACCGGACACCAGACACTGGACACCAGACGCCCGCCCGCCGCGGCCCTGCTTGCCGCCCGTCTCCGCACCTGAGCCTGCCCGGCCGGCGGAGGGGCCGCGGCACCCAGGCCTAGCCGCTGGCCTTCCCAGCCCGGCGCCCTCCGGCTTCCTCTCCAGGACCCGCACCACCCCTCCTCGCCAACGGCCGGGCCCCGTCTTCTCCCGGCCTCCCCCGCTCGGCTCTGTCCCCACCACCACGGCGCCCACCTGCAGCGCCCCGGGCTCACCTGGCCGGGCGACCCGCGCACCCGCCACGTCCTGTTGGGGCGGCCGAAGCTGTCGGGGAAGGGAGCGAGGGAGGGACAGGCAAAGGCACCCGCGAGCGGCACTGGCTGACTGGACAAACACTCCGGTGAGAGGTTGGCAAACAGCGTCCCTCAGCCCCGGCCCGCCCGCGCTGCCCCACCCACGGCCCGCATGCCGGGGTGACTGGCTGGGCGCTTGCGGCCCCGCCCGGGCTCCTGGACACGTTCCAGGGCCGGGCGGCGGCGGGGCCGGCGGCCGCCTGCACGCCAGGCCCGCTGTCCCGGGGCCCACTGGCCCTCGCAGCGGGGGTCCAGGCCCAGACCACCTCGTCCACCTGCGGTCCCCGATGGCTCCTGGCTCCTCCCGCCATCCCGGGTCTCTGCGCAACTTGCATCAGCGGCCCGGCCCCTTCTCCACCCCGGAGCTCAGGGTTTCTTGCAAAGTGGAGTCTGCGGGGCCGGCAGGCCATTCTCAACTACACTGAGTCCCCCGGGCCGCGTCGGCTCACCTCTCGGTTCTGCTCCTGTGTCTCTTGGAGCTTACTTCTCTCTCTCTCTCTCTCTCTCTCTCTCTCTCTCTCTCTCTCTCTCTCTTTTGTTGTCATTAAGTAAATGATCAAAACTCTCAGGCCCTCGCCAGTTACCGGTGTGGTTTTGTAGGACTGGCTCAAGAAGGAGAAAGGCTGGAAAGATGGAGACTGAAAACAACAGTGACACGAAGAGTAACATAAAAGAAATCTTAAAGTCGAGAATCTTGTGAATTTCTGCCAGAACAGGTTGGGGTGGTGCATGACAGGAGAAGCTGACTGAGGACAGGAAAAGGAAATCTTGGAGGAAACTGGAGCAGAAACAGAGACATTGGAGGTTGCGTTCCACTGAGGAGGAACATCCAAAATTGGAGGAAAACGGCTTGATTTGGTGAACCCCACCCAGACTGCATCTGTTGGGGAAAGATGTAATGAAAGAGTGAGAATTCAGTCCTCCTCTCCACAGCCGGCCTAGTAAATTCAGGAGCCTGACTCGCCCTGTTCAGACACGAACCTGGCTCCTTTCCAGCCTCTCCAAACTGCACAAGATACCCAAGGTTAGAAAGAGCCTTGGGGCAGAGCTCAGCCCTGGAGCCCTAGCTATTTAGGAACCATTCTAGGCACCCTAAGGTGAGGCTCTGGGGCGGGTTCTGGTTTAGGTTCGGTTCCCACTGCTTATTAAATGAACGGCCTGTGGGGCGTTTTTTGGCTGGAGTGCCGTTTGTCCCTGTGGCCAGCTCACAACAAATCCTAACACCTTGTGGGTTAAACAGTTGGTGAACTGGGAAGTGTGGTTCGTTAGCCAGTAAAAATCTCATAGGACACTGGTAACAGCCAATGGCCCTCCTCTCCACTCCATCTCTTTCCGTGTCCTTTATAACAGTACTCGCCCGTTGCTACTGACCTCTCCGTCCTTTGGCTTCTCCCTCTGAATAGTAGCAGTGCCTACCTAACTCATTAACTTGTGGCAAGGGTTAAATGAGGTGAAACATGTAAAATGCTTACAATAGTTTCTGAAAGTGGCAAGTGTTCAAACACATTATCTCCTCTTATTTCACATCACAGACTATAATTTCAAGTTATCACTTCACACCTAGGTTATGGATTTTGCCTCCTATGGGACCAAGGTGGCCTCCGCGATCTCCACCTCATAGTGCAGTAGTTGTTTCCTTAGCTGTGGGGGATACATTCCAAGACCACAAGTGCATGGCTAAGACCATCAGTGGCTGACTAAAACCATGGTTAGTACCAACCCCTATATATACTATGTTTTTTCCTATTTTTGCATATCTATGATAAAGTTTAATTTATGAATTAGGCACAAGAAGAGATTAATAAGAATAATCATAAAATAGAAGAATTATAACAATATACTGTAATAAAAGTTATGTGAATGGCTTTGGGTCATTATTAAGTAAAATAAGGGTTACTTGGGCAAAAGCACCACAATCCCGTGACAGTTGATCTGATAACCGATATGGCTACAAAGGGACTAAGGAGTGGGTAGCGTATGCAGTGTGCATATGCTGGACAAGGGATGATTTATGTCTAGGGCAGGGCAGAGCAGGGAAGATTTCATTAGAGTGGCACACAATTTAAAACTTATGACTTGCTTAGACACAGGCAACAGTATGGTGATTAACAGAGGGGAAGGGGGTGGGGGAGGTAGGAGACAGCTATGCAGGTTGGCTAATGGTAAAGGAAGGAGACCTGACTTGGAGTGGTGAACACATAATACAATATACAGATGATGTATTATAGAACTACGCCTGAAACCTATATGATTTTATTAACCAATGTCACCCCAATAATTCAATAAAAAAGAAGAGCCCTGGCTGGTGTTACTCAGTGGATTGAGTGCCAGCCTGCGAGCAGGAAGGTTGCTGGTTCGATTCCCAGCCAGGGCACATGCCTGGGTTGTAGGCCAGGTGCCTATTTGGGGGCGTGCAAGAGACAACCAATCAGTGTTTCTCTCTCACATTGATGTTTCTCTCCCTCTCTTTGCCTCTCTCTAAAAATAAATAAATAAAAACCTTTTTTAAAAAATAAAGAAGAAAACATATGAGTTGTTTTTTTTTTCCCTGGAATTTACCACTTAATATTTTCAGAGCACTGTTGACCAACCACAGATAAGGGGAGGGGGGCTACATTTTGTTGTTTATAAAAGAGTTTATAGCTTGTCTTGGTCTATGTGCGTCTCCCTCTCTTGGATGATTTTCTCCTAGGAAAGCCAACTGCTATGTTATGATCAGCCCTGTGGAGATGCTCATGTGGGGAGGAACTGAGGGCTCCTGCCAACAGCCAAAGAATAAACTTGGACATGGTTTCTGCAGCCCCAGTCAAACCTTCGGCTGACTGCAGCTTGGCTTATAGCTCCAATGCAAATTCATGAGATCACCCAATCAAGCCACTCTTGAATTCCAGACCTACTACACTGAGATGGTAAATTTGTGTTGTATTAAGCCACTAAATTGGGGGAAAATATGTTACATGGTGATAGATAACAAATACACCTCCTCACTGGTCTTGTTTCTAGGCCAGTTTTAGCTAGTTTTATGTATAGGAAATTTCATGTACTGGGTAGCTTATTTAAACACAGATCTTCAACCTTACCCCAGAGCTAAGAAATATACTCTCTGCATTTTGAACAAGCACTCCCTATGATTGGGTCAAAGCTGGGATTACAGATCATGCTGGCAGAAACTCTGCTCCGGGTGCACCAGGCCAGACATTTCTGAATGCAGTTGTCAAATTCATCATTTTAAACATTAATTCTAATCTTTCATTTGGTTGCTAAAAAATCTTTGATGTTCATCCTTCCTTCTTGTCCAAAGTAAGACTCAACCTCTTACCAACTTTCAAAAACCAGAACAACCCAACACTAATGTCTTTCAACTTTATCATCCTCTTAATACAAACCCTACATTCAGATAATCTGGCATTTTCAGGCTCAAAACCTACACAGGCTCTTTATTGTCACACTGCGGGGTTTGTCTAAAATGTCTTGTCCCAAAGCTTGGCTCATGAAAATCCCACCTTCCAACACCAATCTTTAGGGAACACTTCTTGCCTACCCTCCGTCCCAGCAGGAAAGAGTCCATGCCTCTTCATGTTTATGTATGTATCACAAGTTAGCATTTAACACATCAAGAACCATTTAATGAACACCTGTTAGGTGCCAGGCCCTGTGGTGACACTGGGGGATGGCAGAGAGCCAGGGCCCCTGCTGCCACTTCGCTGCAGCTCTGCCTTGCACGGTAGCTGTGTGTATGTTTTCTACCTCTTTGAAAGCGTAAGTGTTATGACAGCAAGAACTATCCTATGCAAATTTGAGTCCTACCCAACACCCAGGCACACGATAGGTATGCAGTGCATGTCAGTTGAATGGATGTTAACAGCCCGAATAAATGCAGGCTGTATACACATAGTACAATCGTTCACTCAACTCGGAACCCAGTGTCTCCTTCCTTTTCTCTGTTTGTCTTCTTTCCATCCTTCTTGCCATGGATCTGTTTCCTGTATTTGTAAGTATCTCCCTTCTTCTCCTCCTCTTAATTTCTGTAGTTCTTTCTCCATCCTCTTTACTTTGTCTCCCCTCTCCTCTACCACCTTCCCCTTTTTCTTTCCTCTCTCCCATCTCCTGGGGTTTCCTCTATCAATTGGCATAATCTAGAACCAAAAATATATTTCTTCCCCATTTTAGAAGTAGACAAAATGTTTTCTATTGCTTAAAAAAAAATCAAGCAGCTCTGTTACTTATTTATGAGGCTCTCGATTACTGCTTCCCTCCCTGTGGGCCAGGGTTCTCAGCAGGAAACACTTCCCACCCATGATCTAGGGCGCGTGTGGGGAGGGCTGTGGTCTTCATGAGCTGGCAACACTCCTGATCGAATGTGAGGTCCGGGTCACCAGCTGAGCACCTACTGCTGGCTGGCCACTGGCGAGTTGGTACATGCATGAGGGCTGTCACCAGGTGAGTTGTTCAGGGGCGCCCCAGTGCCCACCCAGGGCCAGCATTCCAAGGGAAAAGCTAATATCCATTTATTATTGTATATACTAATTTTTTAAATTGGTCATTTATTTCCAGCGATGGACGCCAGGAAACAGAGAGTCCACATTTTAATTGACATGCTCTCTGGAATTCCTTTTGGAAGGAATGGGCTGGGTGTACAGCTACCAGCCATGGCGCTGCCTGTTGGAGGGGTGCTAAGCAGAGCCGATGAACCGTAAGGCCCCCCGGGGCTATGTGGCACCGCAGCCCCACTGCTGCCAGAAAGACTAGAGGAGCCACTGCCCACTAACGTGAGGTCAGCCTGTGTTTGAGTTCCCCAGAAAGCGGAAGTTACCTTCTGATTTTTTCTTTAGGGAAAAAATAGGATAAACAATAATATTTTCCCTGTCATGCTTTATCATCTGCAACCACTTTTTTTAATTTTTAAAGAAGTAAGTTATACCTTTGTCCCACAGTGAATATGAAGTAAATGTGAAAGAAAAAGACTACACATTCAACTTTATTAAAAAATTGATCAAATTTCAAAA